CTGTCATCACCCCTACCTGCTAATGCAACTGTGCTTATTTCCTACTGTAATTCTTAGGAAATTGATTGAATGTGTGAGTGCATCAGTATTGTTTGTATGAGATATATTTTTAAGAAAAATACATCTATTTTAACCAAAACAGCCTCGTATCCTTTACTGGTAATCCTTGGTGGGATCAGGACCTTGGTATAAATTGGCAAGTTGTTGTTCAGTCGCACAGTCGAGTACGACTCTTTGCGACCCCATGGACCATATCACGCCAAGCCTTCCTGTCTTCCGCCGTCCTCTGAAGTTGGATCAATTTCATGTTCATTGCATCTATGACACTGTCTAACCATCTCATCCTTTGCCGTCCCCTTCTTTGACCTTCAGTCTTTCCCAGCATCAGTGTCGGTGGGATCAGGACCTTGGTATAAACTGGCAAGAACCCATTTATAAATTGCCAATTGCTGTAAATAAAAAGCAACTTGGCTAACATCTTGCAGTAAAGAGTCCGGGGGGTGGGCACATGCAACAAGCCCCACCCCCTGCTCCCAGCAGCCCTCAGTCAGAGCAAGAAACAGCTAGGTAAGTTGCAGAGCTCCCCCCAGCCCCCTGGTCCAAAACAGTCCAGTGGCACCTTTAAGACCAAGTTTTATTCAGGTACAAGCTCTCCCTCCTCTGCAAAGACAGATCTGCATGTCCCCCCATAGCTAGCAATCCAAAACAGTCCAGTGGAGCCTGAGCAGTGGGTGTCGCCTTCTGACACATGTCTGGTGATGCCAGGGTGTGTGGCATATGCAAATGAGTTATGCTAATGAGCTCCTGCACCTCTTTTTCTACGAAATGACCCCTGCTCAAGGCCCTTCTGTCTTCCATACTTACAGGTAAGAGACTCCAAGAGACTGGCTCAGGGTTCAGACCCAGTAGATCTCTGTTGGGTGTTTTCAGCACAATCGAGGGCTGGCTGGGGAATGACCCAAAGCCTCGGGTCGTCCAGCACTGACGGGCCCATGCCAGTCTCCGATGCCTGAATCCTCAAGGGGGAGAGGCTTGCCACAATGGTCTCCCCCTGTCTAAGACCAGCAATGAGGCCCTGCCTCAAGGCCCTTCTGTCTTCCATACTTAAAGGGGTAAGAGACTCCAAGAGACCAGCTCTGGGTTCAGACCCAGTAGAGCTCTGCTGTATTTTTCCAGTGCAGTTGGGAGCTGGCTGCAGAAACAACTTGAAGCCTCAGAACTGGCAGCACTGACAGAGGCCTGTGCCAGTCTCTGATGCCTGAATTCTCAGGCGGGAGAGGCCTGCCACAATTTGTCTCTCACTGAGGGCAGTTTGTGGCATTATAGATGTTTCTGCTGTTGGCCAGTCTCTGGTGCCTGGAACCTCAGGCGGGAAAGGCTTGTCTTAAAGGTCTCTTTTTTCTTCTTTTAAGACTGATGATGGGGCCTTTCTTCAAGGCTTTGCCATCTTCTATATAAGGCAAGAGCCTCCAAGAAAGCAGAGCTAGGCTCAAGCATCCTGCTGGAGTGGCAGGGCTATTGAAACTGGAGGGTCAGCCTCACTCTGAGCCAATACAGTCTACACAAATTTGCATAGCCCTGCCTGGCACAAGAGGAGGCATGACCTAACCAGTTTGGATGACTTTGCCCCACTGAAGGAGAAAGTTCTGTGCACTGTAGCCCAGTTCATCTAATGAAACAGGCTCTGTCCCACAAAAGCTTATTTGATATTTGGGTTCCAGTTGACTAATGATTACCCCTCTGAAATAAATCATATATAAATAATACAATAGTAGACACCAATGTTCCCTCTAAGCTGTGTAGCCCTGTGAGCAAAAATTCTACTTTGTGAGCTACTGGCATTAAAGTTGTGAGCGGGTGATTTGGCTACTGCATAAATTAGTCTGCTCTGGAGCCCTCCTTCCTGAGCTAAGACAAAAATGTGTGAGCCAGAGGCTGAAAAACTGTGAGCTCACTCACACTAACTCAGCTTAGAGGGAACACTGGTAGACACTTGTATTGCATTTCAGCTACATGTACTACTTTCCAATGACATCATCCTCAAGTGCTTGGCTATTGCTAGAGAAAGTGCTGATAAACTATGATGTGCAGATATTCTGCATGACAGTTTCAAAGCCAGGTTCCTATAGCAGATTGGGGATTTAGGTAACAATCCTAACCCTAACCCTGCACATATACCACTACAACCAGGTTTTGCTGATGGAAAACTTGGCAGCAAGTCAGGTCAGAGCTCACCTTATTACTAATCATGGAAATAATTTATGGTAGATCAGTAGTTTTAGGTGGGGGGGGGATCATGAAAACTCCCAAAAGTGCAACAAATTCTTTTCCCTAGAAAGTTATTCCAAACAATATATAGCAAGTTTAGAAGAATCCAAATGGGTGATGGTTGTCACTATGTAGTGCAACACTTGATTCTTACTCTTGGTGACATGAAATCAGGTAAATGACAGGGATAAATACAGTCTCCAGCAGTTTACTATATAAACAGGCAATGGAAGTGGTCATGAAAAAGGATAGTCTTTTTGAATAACAAAATGGACTTAGTTGAAAAATTATCCCTGTAACACTTGAGCAACAAAATGTGCTACTGTTAACAAAAATATTTTGTTGCTGAGCATCTAAAGTAATGGCTGCACAGCTTTTTAACCTGAAAGGTATAGCTAAGTCTTTATGGAAAGAAACAGCATGCACCATTAGATATTTTTCACCTTTCATTTAATACTGTGGTGAAAAGTTTAAGTTCATACATCCTCAGTTGTTTTCCTTTCAAATCTGTCAGTAGCAGATACTTGAGATTTTACAAATCCAGACTCCACTGAAATTGGTTTTTTTTAAAGAGCTCAACTCTTCATACCATCTGTTTTTTTCAAAGGGACTTCAGCAGACAAATTAATTCACACACCCATTGTGTCATTACTACTCTCATTTTTAGATGCTGTAAAGAAATCAGCCTTTGGAAGGTAATTCCTCTTTGAAGACAGAAATTCTAGTCACAATACTAAAGTGATGCTATCCCAATATGACGATGCTACACAATTCCATGTGTTTTTTAAAGTTTTTAAAGCAAATTACACATTATGCCTTTGGTATTTTTTCTTAAAATCCAGTGGTACAGTTTAAGACTCTCAAATAGTAGTTTTCAATGTCTTCAAGTATTTATAAGAGGCACAGCAGCAAATTATTCTTAATGCACTTTTGCAGTTCAGCTCACTGAAACTGTTACCAAGCTATGGGGGGGCAGGGGGACTGAATGTTTCTGTAACTCGATCCTAAACTGACAAGGAAGTAAGTCCTACTGATTACAATAAGCATTACATCCCAGTAAATGTGCCTAGGATCACAAACATGGTGCTTCTATTATGTGAAATATTTCATATTTTATTGTTTTTTAGTAGTCAGTCTATAAGAAGCACTCATAAGATAAACTAGATCTTGTCCAGTATACCAGAACCAATTACTTCATTGTGGACACTGAACTTTAAAAACCTGCATCTAAAATAACACACACACTTGATCTCAGCCAAAAGGCTGAGAAGCAATATCACTTATACCAATGAACTCTTTCTTGGAAAAAGGGCTTATATTGGTACTGTTTTTTTCCTGAATAAAAGTAATAGGATTTGACTCTGTAGGACACAGCCAAAACACATACAGTATTTACTCAAATGAAAGACAAGGATTTTTCCCAGGTATGCCATAAAAAAGAGGGGTCATCTTATATTTGCATACTAGTTACACTTACATCCAGTAAATGTGTAACATTTTAAGGGGGTCATGTTATATTAAGGGTTGTCTTCCTTTTGAGTAAACCCAGTACTCCAAACTAAGCCCTCAGTGAAGCTACAGTGGTTCTAACAAAGTGATTTAAGGATGACCATTTCAATAAGGAATATGTCTGTAATAACAATGTGTACAAGTGATATGTATGTATTATGTTCCTGACTTTTTGGACAAGGTGGGAAGCACAACCCCCATCAGTATTTGAGCTGCAGATATCTCAAAACTTAAACACATATACATTCCTTGACATATTATAGAGGATTTAGAGTATTTAAGCTCCCAAACTAAACCGGAAGTTTGAGAAGGAAGAGTCTGGGAAAGACTAACCATGCAGTATTTTAACAAAACTAGGGATAAAAATATGACAAGAGTACATTTGTATAATAACTTGCAGGCTGTCCAAGATAAGTTATGTTTTTTCAGTATAGGTTCTCCACATTGAAAAACTTGGAGAATTTTCAAATATTTTGTGATCCTGTTGACTTAAAGCAATCTTCTAAAATGTTATCATGGTATATGCACAAACTATTAAATTAGGTTCAGTATAAGTAGTTGCTCAAGTTACCAGTTAGTTTGGGAACTATACATTAAAGGCAAATCTTTTTACACAGGATTAGCCATTACAACAGCAGGCTGCCCAATTCAAACTTTAAACTTTAATTTCTCCTTCCAAAAATATTTCACTGCATTTCCAAGTTCATATTATCTGGATCAGAATTCATTTATTTACCATTTTTGTCTGAATCAATACCTTGTTTAAAATTTATTTTCCTATCCTTCATTATATCCTTAATAAAAATAACCATGATACATTATTAACTCATGCAAACAATCACCTTCTATATAGTCTCTGCTGTTCTTATGCTTACTCAGGTTTATGTTATGTAACTGGGGGGGGACCTTTTTAAAACTTAATTTCTTGGTGTATTTTGGATTAAGGTCTGTTCTTTCCAATTTTTTTCCATGTGAGTGTGGGTTAGGATGTGGACCTTAGTGGACTTTAATCTACACAATTTAAAATAGCTGTAAGCATTCTTCCACAAGTTGCATTTCCCTGCTTTGTTTTCCATCCTCTTCTACAGACCACAGCATTAGTGAATCTCATTAAGCCCATAAGGGTTTGTTTATATTTCTGTAAACTTCTCATCACATAGCTGACATATACTAGATTTTATGTGCACGGTTCAACTGACGTGCCATTCAGTTTGTTTTTGCTCTTGCTTTTATAGAGAATTTTCTTGTTGAGAATGCGTGTTAGGGTTCCTCCCTTTCTTCGAGTACCATCAGATGTCGGCTGTTGTAGGTAAATGAGGTCATTATGTGATTGGCTCATGCCTGGGTCTTTCTGGTGGTGCCGTCGGAGGAAAAACAATCTTGCACCCTTTTTAAAAATTCCACCTGCAGTAGTGAAGACGTAAAAGTAGTAGAGAAATATTTTAGGTAGAAAACAGCACTTTATCTTGTTTGTTTCCTAAACAAAGTACTTGGTACAAATGCAATCCCATTCCATTCCCCCCCCCCCCCCCCCCCCCCCGCACACATTTAATACAGAAGCAGAAACAAACAGGTCAGGTCTTTCTTTAAGGGTCAAAGCAGATGGGATGGATACAACAGATTTCAGACATTAAGCTTAATTACAGCCACAAAAGTTACTCTGATGCAGACTGAGGCTCATGTGGGGAGGGGGAACAGGGGGGTTTAACACTTATGTTCCTGAATGATTTTGTAAATTGAAACTGCCCCTCTCCCCTTTTTAAAGGAAATGAAAGGTTGCAAAAGTGTGGAAAGTCTGGTATGATTTTGGGATAAACCTCTTCTCTCTGCATCAGGGCAGTGTGTGGCAATAACTGACCTTTAAAAGATGACAGGAGGATCCAATCACTGGTCTCCCAGTATTTTGTTTGTCTTGACCCAAAGTTTTAACCAACAAGGCATATCAAACAGCAATAATTAACAACTGTATAGCACTGTTCAAAAGTGCTTTGTGTATATATTCTCAGTAGCCAGTGGAGATCACGAGCGCAGAGTGTGTCAGCGTAATGCTGGAGGCTGAGGAGGGTTTGGCGATTTGGCTGGTGTACTGACCGCCTAATGCACCAGCCAATAGTCTGCTGTCCCTGCTGGAGGCCGTATCAGGCTGGCCGTTGGAACACCCAAGGCTGATTTCAACGTCCATGCCGAGGATGCGGCCTCTAGCTGGGCTATGGATCTAGTGTCATCCATGGCGGCGCTGGGACTCTCTCAACTGGTATCGGCCCCCACGCATTGAGCCGGTCACATGCTCGATCTGATCTTCACGGCAGGGGTGATGGTGAACCGGATCACTGCTGAGGCAGTGCCATGGTCGGACCACCAGGCCCTGAAGGCCCGTCTGAATGTGCCATCCTGACCCTGTGTAGGCGGTGAGCATATTTTTGCTCGCCCGCGCTGCCAAATGGACCCTATGCGGCTTCAGATGGCTTTGTGGGATCCGGAACCCCCTGGCAGCTCGTTGGATGAGCTAGTGGAGGACTGGCATGACCGGCTCTCCACGGCCATCGACGAGATCGCTCCCAGGCATCCTCTCCGAACTCATGTTAGGCGGGCGCCCTGGTATACCCAGGAGTTGTGCCAGCTGAAGCGAGAGCTGAGACGACTAGAGAGACGGTGGTGCCACACTCGCAACGAGTCCTCAAGAGCATCCTATAGGACGTTTAGGAGATCCTATGAGATGGAGTCAAAGGGACCCTATGCAGCTCCAGATGGCTCTGCGGGATCTGAGGCTCCCTGGCGGCTCATTGGATGAGCTGGTGGAGGACGGGCATGGTCGGCTCTCCATAGCCATCGATGAGATTGCTCCCAAGCACCCTCTCCACACTAGTCTTAGGCAAGCGCCCTGGTATACCCAGGAGCTGCGATAGCTGAAACGAGAATTGAGACAGCTAGAGAGAAGTGTCGAGAACATCAACCACGTGCGACCTTGATCCGTGCCCCTCCTGGCTCATTAAGGCGGGCCAAAAGGGGTTTCGAGGTGCCCTATGGGAGATTATTAACAAGTCCCTCTCAGAGGGGCTGTTCCCTAAGGCACTCAAGGAAGCGATGGTCTGCCCTCTCTTGAAAAAACCCTCTCTGGACCCGACCGAATTGGCCCACTATCGGCTGGTGTCCAATTTGCCCTATTTGGGCAAACGTATTGAGACGGCGGTGGCGATACAGCTACAGAGTTTTCTGGAAGATGCTTCAGTCTTAGACCCCTTCCAGTCCGGCTTTCACCCGGGTCATGGGACGGAAATGGCATTGGTCGCCCTGACAACCTCCGAAGGAATCTGGATCGAGGTGGTGTGGCAGCACTGTTGCTACTTGACCTGTCGGTCGCATTTGATACGGTTGACCACCAGTTGCTGACCCACTGACTCGCCGACGCGGGGATTCCGGGGCTGGCCCTTCAATGGTTTGCTTCTTTTCTCCAAGGTCGGGGACAAAGGGTGGTGATAGGGGAGCAGCGGTCCCGGAGGCACCCTCTTGATTGTGGGATGCCTCAGGGAGCAGTGCTGTCACCTATGTTGTTTAACATCTACATGCGCCCCCTTGCCCACATTGCCCAGAGGTATGGGCTTGGGTGTCATCAATATGCGTATGACACCCAGCTCTATCTGATGCTGGGCGGCTGGTTGAACTATGACCCAGATGACCTTCAACGAGCGTTGCAAGCCGTGGCTGGTTGGCTCAGACTGAGTCGGCTGAAACTAAACCCAGCGAAGACGGAGGTCCTGGGCCTAGGTCGGGGTGGTTCAGGGTTGGGACTCCCTCTCCCGACTTTCGATGGGGCGCCTTTGGTGCCAGCGTCGGAGGTTAGGAGTTTGGGAGTGCTCCCGGACTCCTCTTTAACAATGGCAGGTAGCAGTCACTGCCAAGTCGGCCTTTAATCATCTTCGGCTGGTACGGCAGTTGGTTCCCTTCCTTGACCGTGATGACCTGGCTACAGTGATCCATGCGACAGTTACCTTGAGGCTGGACTACTGTAACGCTCTCTACTTGGGGGCTGCCTTTGTTGGAAATGCGGAAGCTGCACCTAGTGCAGAATGCAGCAGCCAGGCTGTTGATGGGTCTCCCTAGGCGGGACCACATCCAGCCTGTGATGAAGGCGCTGCACTGGCTGCCAATAGCGTAACGGATCTGCTTCAAAGTGCTTGTTCTTACCTTTAAAGCCCTTTATGGTCAGGGTCCGGCATACCTAAGGGACCGCCTTTCCCCATATGTTCCCCCAAGGGCACTACGGTCGGGGGCCAACATCTTTTGACTACCCCAGGCCTCAAGGACATCAAATTCGCCGAGACTAGGGCCAGGGCCTTTTTTGTGGTGGCTCCTACCTGGTGGAATGAGCTCCTGGAGGAGATCTGGACCCTGCGGGATCTTGCGCAGTTCCACAGGGCCTGCAAGACGGAGCTCTTCCACCAGACCTTCGAGTAGGAGCCGCCGCCGCTACTGTTCCACCAATGCACCGCCGCTGAAAATTGGCGGAGATACCATCAGGGTGCAAGCGGGCCCTGGGAAGAAGACTGGTTATCTGCCATTTTGGAACTTACGTCGTTGGTTCGGATCCACCCTACCAGAACCCATCTTGGAACTGGGAACATCAGAGCACCAGCACTTTGTTGTATTATTGTTATGTTTTTATTCTGTTTTAATTGTTTTAAATATGGCTTTTGCCCCAATTGTTAGCCGCCTTGAGCCTTAGGGGAGGGTGGGATATAAATCAAATTATAAATAAAATAAATAAATAAAACTGTAGATTACTGTATGTAGCAAAAGCAGGGTTGAGACAGACACTGCCTTTTTTCTAGGACATTCCTAGAAAAGCCCCAGTGTCTGTCAGTATTATGGCTGAAATAATTATTGGGGACTGTCCACAACTCTCTTTTAGCCACTATAATCATTGCTCAGAGCTAGTCAACTGCAATATTCCAATAGCAATTTGCTGTATCATTTTATGTGTTCATGTACATTAAAATAGCTTTCTACTTAGTTGCAAAGCATAGTAGAATTCCTGAAAATGGAGCAGAAATGCTCAGTGCGGAACAGTTCACACAGAAGCAGAATTCATAGTCAGTGGTATACTATTTTTTTAAGACAGAAGAACACACTTTAAATTATTTTATACAAGTTAAATTTTGTGCAAAAAAGGTCTCCCATCTTGAGCAAGTGATATAAGTAGTACAGGCAGGGCCCTGAAGAAAAAAGTGAGGATTCCGTTTTGATGAGAGAAACTCCAGATCAGAAAACATTTCTTTGCAATCGGTTTAGGACAACAGATATAGCCTTTCACAATTCAGCACTTTAGAGGCCCACTGGTTTCAATGGAAGAGTTAAGCATGTTCTTCAGCTTATCCTACATAAATCAAAAGGGAATTAACATAGCTGTGAATGGATCATGCCTCTAGTTATTTAGAGTTGCAAACATAAGCATGTCAACCAGGAAATAAGCCCCAGTGAACTCAGTGAAATTTATTTCTAAATGAAGCAACTTAGGACTGGGCAACAGAGGAATGTAACTGTGATGCTTTGTTTTAAGAACTGTTCCTGAGGCCAGAAAACATTCAATACCTGGCAATAATGGCAAAAATATATTTGGTATTAGTTCCTGGAAACATTTCTGCTTTTTATTAAAAAGTAATTAATTCTTCAGTTATAATAATGCAAGATACATAAGAAGCAAAAAAGGGAAGGGGGAATCAGTGGCGTGACATAATCCTATTGGTGATACGGCATTTTTTACTCATTTATTCATTTCCTTACCACTTCATACCTCATAGTTCTCAAACTGGTACATAAGGATAAAATACACAACACTATACTATAGTGTATGTGATGACATACCAAGAGGCTGACTGGTATGCAATCATAAGAACACAAAATAATTGCCCATGAAATGTCCTTTTTGCATTTGCAAATACATTCTTCTTGTTATGCATTATTTTGTTAGAAGTTTGTTCCTCCTTTTTTAACGTGCCCTATGCCCGGTACAGCTCAGGGTAGGGCGTCACTTCTCCCCTTACTCAAGAAAGGAACTATTTATTTGCAAATGTTGATTCATGTTCCAGACATAATATGAAAACTACATATCTAGCTTGGTTATCTACCTAGGAGGCTAATCTAGTCTCAAAGCAGCAGGACAATCAAATTAAATCAAATTTATTACGGTTGAGACCAGCAAGGTTAAAATACAACTTGGACAACTAATACATAAAGTTTAAAATCACGGCACAATTAAAATTTATACTTCAGCCTTCTGCATTTTCTTAGACAGATAGTTACGCTTTCTAAGAGGCACTGCACAAAACCTTGCCACCGCATAAGATACAGGTTTTTGACTGTCTTCTAGTGTTGTCCATGGTGGACCTAGTGTCGTCCATGGCGGC